GTTTCTGGACGTATGCTTCCTATCGCAGGGGTTTGCCTATAAATACAGTACTGAAGTTTTAACTCTAGAACTGTATTTTGAACTGTCTGGGTGATCTACCCAAGGTGCTGGTTAACAGAAAGAAACTTTGGGCCAGGCATGGTGGCTTATGCCTATCGAGTACCAGCTCTGCCAGACAGACCCCCATCCAGGTGGCGCTGAAGAAGATGAGAAGCAGACACCCAGATAAAACGGAAAAGCCGGTCTACCCAGAGGGCCAGCAGCCTTCCGAACTCATAGCCTCAGGGCTGACGGCATTCCAGGCTGAAGGCCCCAAGCAGATTCTGATCCACGTATTTATTCTCTCTGAACAGGTGATTAACAAACAGGTATTCTGTATTTTCTCATAACACAAAAACCTACCAAGTAGGCAGCTACTATCTGCTTACCACTGATTACAAACAAGCCGAAAGGTATTCTTCACGAGGGAGCTATGGGGGCAGGGTCAGCTATCTCAAAGAATTGTTTTATCTGGTATATGATATTTATACATTGTCCTGCCACTTTGGAATACCGCAAGTAGTTTTCTACTTGGGGGAGGCAGTCAACTAGGTTTTCCTTGCCATCATTCTTCCTAGCAAACAATATATTCTAACATACGCTCAGTATTCATCGGTATTCATAAACTTACCATTTCTCAACATCTATATTCATAAACGTAACATTTCTCCACATCTGCCTGTAATCCCAGCACTTTGGAAGGCCGCGGCAGGCAGACCACTTGATGCCAGGAGTTCAAGACCAGCCTGGCCAACATGGCAAAACCCTGTCTTTACTAAAAATACAAAAATTACCCAGGAGTGGTGGTGCCCGCCTGTAATCCCAGCTACTCAGGAGGGTGAGGCATGAGAATCGCTTGAACCCAGGAGATGGAGGTTGCACTGAGCTAAGATGGCACCACTGCACTCCAGCCTGGGTGACAGAGCTGACTCTTATCTCAACAACAATAACAAAAAAAAAAAAAAAAAAAAAAGAAAGAAAAGAAAAGAAAAGAAAAAAAGAAAGAAAAGAAACTCTGTTTCATCTTTGAAGGAATCTAAAAAGCTTTTATTGTTTTTCCAAGTCAAAGTCAAAGGCCAGGAAAAGTCATGCAGGTTAGGAAGTCCCTCCCCGCACCCGAGGCAGTGGGCAGCGCAGCAAGGCTCAGCTGGATGCCTGAGGGCCCCTCCTCTGGCCTCCTCCCTCTGATCTGTACAGAGAAAATGAGGTTCACCAAAGGACAGGACAAGGGCATGTTATACAACACATTTACTTTCCTGCCCAGGTTCTTCCTGGCTGAAGCTCTCTGGCAAGCCAGCTAGATTTAATATTCTGGTAACTGTATTGCAACTGATGACAGGTGACTTAGGAGAGGCTCTCCATGTGACAGTTCTGGCTACCTTTTAGCTATGAGCTTATATGTGACAAATACCATTATTTACACAAGCAGGCTAAACTGCCTTAAAGTTCCAAGTATAAATATTGCTTAAGCAACTTGACATTCCTGAGGTAAGAACCAAATCTGGAAGTGTAGGTCTACCTCTTGGTGATCCATATTAAAATTGGCAAAAGGCTGAAGTTCCTTAAGAAAAAAAAAATCTCATTCTCAGGAGACATGATTAAGCAAGTCTAGTTTCAGTGTTAATTCTGACACGGGTAGTTTTTGGACCACACTTTAAAAAACAAAATTTAAGGCTGGGGTGATGGCTCACGCACGTAATCCTAGCACTTTGGGAGGCCGAGGTGGGTGGCTCACCTGAGGTCAGGAGTTTGAGACGAGCCTGGCCAACATGGTGAAACTCCGTCTCTACTAAAACTACAAATAAGATTAGCCTGGTGTGGTGGCAAGGTGCCTGTAATCCCCGCTACTTGGGAGACTGAGGCAGGAGAATCTCTTGAACCCGGGAGGTGGAGGCTGCAGTGAGCCGAGATGGCACCATTGTACTCCAGCCTGGGCAACAAGAGTAAGACTCTGTCTCAAAAAAAATAAAAATAAAAATAAATAAATAAAAGGAAAGAAAAGAAAAGAAACACAATTTAAAATGTAACCGAGCAGTTACTCCATTCCACTTGGCATTTCCTTTGGTCTTACTTTCCACCCCTTACTGATCTTGTTCCTGAAGGGAAGTTGTTCAAGGGCAGGGACCGTGTCTGCATCCCTGGTTAGACCATAGTATCTATACCGGGCAACACTCAAACGTCTAGTGACAAGCGCTGAACACCCCTCTGGGGCTTCTCCATGTAATTTTCAATTCCTGAGTTTCTGAATCCCTCTGGAGAGGTCGTGATCCTCTCTCTAGGACTGGAGTATCTCTGTACCCAAGGCAGTGGCAGAGAAGCCAACCACTGTTCCCGTCTGATCCCATAGTTAATGAAGCCAGGCAGCCGGCCCGAACCATTTCTCAATTGCTCTGCTTCAGTGTCACTGGCCAAGTTCTTCTCCATTTCCCCGGGCTGGAGTGGGCCAAGGAAACAGTCAAGTACATCAGAACGAAGCAGCCAAGGGCAGGCAGCCAAATCCTGGCAGAGGGGGCAGGAGGTTCACCTCACTACTCTTGCTGCAGGCCCAGATCCAGCATGGCAGAGCTGTGCTACTTGTAAATTAGGAAGAGGGGCTGTTATCTGTGGAATGTCACAGAATAGAAAACTAATGTTAAAAAATCATCCGCTAAATGGGTGCTTTTCGAATGGCATGGCCAATAGGGAAGCTGGTATTGCATTCAAGTCATCTTGAGATTAAAACTGGCAAAGCCGAGCAGCAGCAAGGTACCAACTCCATTAAATGTTGTGTAGAACATTGTTGTTGACTGAAAAATGCAGCTCACAGAAAAGTAAGCAATACCCTAGTATCTGTAGGGTAGACGGGGAAAGGAATGTATGTAAGCATTCACTTGCATGGACTTCCTCCAGAAAGGACAGAGGAAATTAATAACGCTGGTTTTCCTCCAGGAGGTATTCAGGGGGAATAAACGTGGATGGGAGATGTTTCACTGTTTTTGGGCACTCTTTGGGTTTTGTTTTGTTTTGTTTTGTTGAGACGGAGTCTTGCTCTGTTGCCAGGCTGGAGTGCAGTGGCGCAATCTCAGCTCCCTGCAACCTCTGCCTCCAGAGTTCAAGCGATTCTCCTCCCTCAGCCTCCTGAGTAGTTGAGATTACAGGCAGGTACCATCATGCCCAGCTAATTTGTGTATTTTTAGTAGAGACAGGGTTTTGCCATGTTGACCAGGATGGTCTTGAACTCTTGACCTTGTGATCTGCCCATCTCAGACTCCCAAAGTGCTGGGATTACAGGCATGAGCCATTGTGCCTGGACTGTTGTTGTTGTTGTTGTTTTTTTTAATTTTTAATTTTGTTTTGTTCTTTTGAGACAGGGTTTCACTCCCTTCACACAGACTACAGTGCAATGGTGGATCTGATTTTGGCTCACTGCAACCTCTGCCTCCCAGGCTTAGGTGATTCTCCTGCCTTAGCCCTCCAAGGAACTGGGACCACAGGCATGTGCCACCATGCCCAACTAATATTTTTATTTTTTGTAGAGGTGGGGTTTTGCCATGTGGCCCAGGCTGGTCTCAGACTCCTAGGCCCACCTCAGCCTCCCAGAGTTCTGGGATTACAGGTGTAAGCCACTGTACCTGGCCTTGGTTGTTAATGTGAATGTGTTATTCAATCAAATATGATTATGGTTTTAAAAATTAGTTTTCAGGCTGGGCGCAGTGTCTCACACCTGTAATCTCAGCTACTCAGGTGGATGAGGCACAAGAATCGCTTGGCTCAGGAAGGTGCAGTTTACAGTGAGGCAAGATCACGCCACTGCACTCCAGCCTGGGCAACTAAGTCTTGGTATTGACTTGGCATATGCCAGGCACTAGGGTAGATGCCATTCTCAAACGCTGGAGACAGATAATCAAATAAATCCTTATAATACCATGATACAGGCCAGCAATAGAGGGATAGACAGAGGCCACTGGCCTTGCTGGGATGGAAAAGTGAAGCACCAGGTAAGGTTTCTTCCAATAAGTACTTTCTAAGCCAAGTCGTGAAAGAGCAAAACTAAAACCAACTACCCAGGACCAACTGCTGCAGCACTTCTGATGCCTGTCACACCACAGAAAAACCGGTGACCAGGAACACTGAAAGGGCGTCATCACTCTTAACTATTGTCCACCAGTCCCTCCAATGTGGCGAAAGAGTGTACAGCAATGAAAACAGGCTTGGAAACACCAAGCCTTTGCTTCCTTTCCCCTTCACACCCCCACGTCTATATTCACCCACGACGTATGTTTGATTAAGGGTACTAGAAGAACTGACATTTCTAAAGTGCTTTACAAAATGTTTAAGTCAAATAAGGCCCCAAGGGGACCAACGCTTCGCAAACACCTCAGCAAGGAAGAATTCTCAACGCCTCAGGGGGCGCGGCCTGTTGAAACTTGGATTTTCTTCCTGATACGACGCGCCTAAGATAGTGGACCTATCAGAAGCGGGGGCGAGACAGGCACCTTGAAGGACAGAGCCTGCCCCGCCCGTGACCTGGGCAGCAAGAGCCCTTTAGCCTTCTCCGCCTCGGTTTCATCAACACCGAAACTGTAGTAAGAATGCTCGAGCCTCTTCCAATTCCTTGACCCAGGAGATCCCCCGTGGAGAACGGAGTGCGCCCTCAGGATGTCGTGCAAAACACCCGGGCGTGGCGAGCAGGTGGCTTCGGTGCGCTCAGTAACGAGGGCGCAGACAGGTGCCCGCGTGTGCTGGCTGCCCTCTCTCCGCGCTGTACCCCGCGCGCAGGCGGGCCCAGCGCCTCCCGAACGAGTGCCCCGGTGCGGCCTCCTCGGGCGCGCGGTGTCCAGCCCCGCAGCGAGGTCGCCCACCCCGCCTCCCTGCGCGCAGCGCCCGGTGCCCACGCCGCGGCACGGGGCGCGCAGACCTCTCCGCCCCGGAGAGGCGCTTCCTGGAGGCGGAGCCCCCGCCTCCAACCCGCCGCCGCTCACCAGTTCCCCGAGCCCACGATGCACACTTTCAGGGGCGCCGCTGCCATGGCCAGGCCGAATGTAGCCGCCCGGACCGCGCTTCCCTGGCCAGTTGCCCACCTTCGCCTGCTCAGCCTTGCCCGCAGCGGCTGGGGCCGGCCCCGCCCCGTGCGCCTCTCCGCCAATGGTCGCGGCCACCCCTGCCCGGCGCCGGGGGCCACAGCTGACAGCCGGGCAGGACCCGCTCCGCCACTCCCAAGAACCACTGCGCACGCCTGGCCCTAGCCGGCCTCCCAGCCCGGCTCCGGCGCCGCCCCACCCTGCCCGAGGCACGTCGGGACATGTAGTCCTCACTCCCCCGGCGCAGCGACCCTGGACAGCTGCTCCCGCCGCGCCACGTGCAGGCCAGGGCCACTGAGCAGCGACTCGCGCCCCTGGTTCCCGGTGGAGGCTGCACTCTATCCTCACGGGTGGAGCAGACCCGACCAGCTCGTCGTGGTGCTCCCTACACGCTTGTTCCCTACGCGGGAAGAGCTGCCACACTGCCATTTGGAGCAGAGAGAGGCTCCTAGGTTGACTCTCAAGCCGACCAGACTTGGGCCAAAGCTCGAAGTGCCCACCGTGCCTTGTCATCCTCTGCCTCATTTGCACAAACAAGACTCTGCCTGGCACCTCTGAACTTCTTAGTGAACTTGGATCTTCAGAGGGCTTTGGAATTTGGCTGGACAGTACCTGCATTTCAAGGATGACACCTTTTCTAGTTAGTCAAGATAGAAACTTGGCCAGGTGGGGTGGCTCATGCCTGTAATCCCAGCACTTTTGCAGTCCAAGGCAGGAAGATCGCTTGAGCCCAGGAGTTTGAGACCAGCCTGGGCAATATAATGAAATCCCTTACCCCGACATCCTCACCTCCCACCCCACCCCCGACCCCTGCACAAAAAGTTTAAAAATTAGCCAAGCATGATAGCACACACCTGTAGTCCTAGCTACTCAGGAGGCTGAGGCGGGAGAACTGTATATGCCAGGAGGTTGAGGCTGCAGTGAGCCATGACAGGGCCACTGCACTCCAGAATGAGGGACAGTGAGACCCTGTCTCAACAAAAAATAAATACCTAAAAATAAAGGGAAAAAATGTAAACAATAACAACTTGCACTAAGTGGGTGTCACCCTCGCACACTTACTTGGCAGGAATTGCCTGACCACTGTCTTCGTCCAGGGCCTGACTCACACTTGCTTGTGGTTTGTTTGCATTTGTGATTAACACACTGCTCTCCTCCTTCTTGACAAATAGAACCTCAGTTTGTTCATTCTGAGCATCAGTCTCTGCCAGGCGCTGTGCTAGACACTGTCAGAGTAGGACAAAGGGGTTCTGAAACTCTGCTGCATATTAGAGTCATCAGGGCTTTAAAAAATCCCCATGCCCAGGCTCCACTGCAGACCAGTTACATCAGAATGTCCCAGCGTGGCATGCAGGCATCAGAATATGTATTTATTTATATTTTTTTAGACAGTCTCACTCTGTTGCCCAGGCTGGAGTGGAATTTTTTAAAGTTCAAGAGGTGATTGCAAAAGGAAACCACGAATGAGAACCAAAACACTAAAATATCAGTGGATTCTGGCTAAAGAAACAAATACTCTAGTCCCTACAAAAATAACTGTTAGTTTGGTGCTCAGAGAAGTAACTGTTATTTTTGCTTTGTTCTCTACATTGTGTGAAATATGTATTTGTGTTACTTATGGTATTTACTTAAGGAAATACTTAAAGGGAGTAGGTGAGCCAGAGGAGTCTTTCCATCCTTCCACCAATGGTTTGTTCGCAATTGTTTGCACGAATGCAAAGATACATGCAGGGATAATGGGAAAGATGGGGTAGTTAAGCTTTATTAATCTGTATTTGTGTAACAAAACGCATTTGTCAAATTGAATAGTGAAGTCATGTACTTGGGTAATATACATACACTGCAAATATTTATGTTATCTAACTGGACTAGGGTCCCTTCACCTGGAACGGTAAGGCCAAACACCCTATGCCGATTCAAAGAAATAAGTAAACAAAGCAGAAGGGAAAGTTCTCTACAGTCGAATGTCAACCCATGAATATGGAGAAATTATGGGTCTAGACAATCATCAATGGATGCTAACAGTAGTGACGGAAGTTTGATGTGGGACAGGATATTTACTTATCATCAAAGCCTCCACACAAATTGTTTACAAAGGATAAAACAGTAACTTTAGAGAAAACTGGCTGACACCATCTTAACCATGTGGTCAAAGTCATCACCAGTGATGGGACAAACTGACATATGCATGTCCTTCTTTTTTTTTTTTGTTTTGAGACAGAGTTTCGCTTTTGTTGCCCAGGCTGGAGTGCAGTGGCATGATCTCAGCTCACCGCAACCTCTGCCTCCAGGGTTCAAGTGATTCTCCTGTCTTGGCCTCCCAAATAGCTTGGAATACAGTCACGTGTCACCACGCCCAGCTAATATTTTTGTATTTAATAAAGATGAGGTTTCACCATGTTAGGCTGGTTGCAAACTCCTGATTTCAGGTGATCCCCCCGCCTCGTTCTCCCAAAGTGCTGGAGCTCCCAAAGGGCGTGCTCCACCTAGCTTGGCCCAAACTGGCACATGCATCCTCTTTAACTAAAATGAGAAGAAGGTATTTGCTTCATACTGGTGTGTTAGACATTTATTTTAAAATTAGGACTTAAGGATTTTACAGATTAAAATATTTCTAATTTTTTTGATGTCTGACAGAGAATTGTCAATTTTTTCCAAGTAAGGACGTAAGCTATTGCCATATCCTATTACCATTTTACTTCATCTTATTTTATTTAATTCATCTTATTAATCTTAATTAACTTATCTTTTGAATAATTAATGCATCCATATGGTTTAAAACCCATATTCTTTTTTTTTTTTTTTTGAGGCAGAGTTTTCGCTCTTGTTACCCAGGCTGGAGTGCAATGGCGCGATCTCGGCTCACTGCAACCTCCGCCTCCTGGGTTCAGGCAATTCTCCTGCCTCAGCCTCCTGAGTAGCTGGGATTACAGGCACGTGCCACCATGCCCAGCTAATTTTTGTATTTTTAGTAGAGACGGGGTTTCACCATGTTGACCAGGATGGTCTCGATCTCTCAACCTCGTGATCCACCCGCCTCGGCCTCCCAAAGTGCTGGGATTACAGGCTTGAGCCACCGGGCCCGGCTGAAACCCATATTCTTAAAAGGAATTTCACTGTGTACCCAAAAGTCTTAAAGAAGTACGCAATGAAATTCCTTTCTTTTCCAGCAGACACTCAATCCCTCCTTTGAAGAAACGCTTGTTCTCAATTCAAATTTCTCTGTGTATCCTTCCAAGAATATTCCACACGTATACAAATACATTTTTTCTTTCCTCTTTCTTTTTTTGTTTTTGGGAAAGAGTTTTGCTCTGTTGTCCTGGCTGGAGTGCAGAGGCACAAGCAGGCTCACGGCAGCCTTGACCTCCTAGGCTCAAGCAATTGATCCTCTCACCTCATCCTTCCAAGTAGCTAAGACTAAAGGAATGAGCCACTACACCTGGCTAATTTTTTAAAGTTTTTGTGGAGATGGAAGTTGACCATGTTGCCCAGGCTGGTCTTGAACTCCTGGGCTCAAGAGATCCTCCCGCCTCAGCCTTTCAGAGTGCTAGGATTACAGGCGTGAACCACTGCACCTGGCTCCTCTCGTTTTTAATTAGTATACTATGCACATTTTTCTGCTACTTGCTTTTTGACTTAATGTCATTTCGTGTTAAAAATGTCAGTCAACGTTAAAGAAGTATGCACATAGGCCGGGCGCGGTGGCTCATGCCTGTTATCCCAGCACTTTGGGAGGCCAAGGTGGGCGGATCTCTAGGTCAGGAGATCAAGACCATCCTGGCTAACATGGCGAAACTCCATCTCTACTAAAAATACAAAAAATTAGCCGGGCGTGGTGGCACATGCCTATAATCCCAGCTACTCAGGAGGCTGAGGGAGGAGAATCACTTGAACCCAGGAGGTAGAGGCTGCAGTGAGCTGAGATCACACCACTGCACTCCAGCTTGGGAGCAAGACCCCATCTCAAAAAATAAAATAAAATGCAATAAAAAGGATGCACACAATAAAAACTTAAAATTAAAAAAAAAAAACAACAACTTTGCTTTTGGGAAAACACTCCACAAAAGTCTTTACTTTTCTTATTTCTTTGTGACACTAAAAACTTTTTTACAGACCGATATTGGTTAGATTTATTCCTGTAATTCCAAGCAAAACATACACTTGGGCCACCAAAGAGAAACATTTTATCTATTCTGCCTTACCCCACATATGTCACAACTTTATTTCCTCATTACACACCATACAATCTGTGATGGTGACGTTTGTTCTTGTTATAGCTGGTTTCAAATGCAATTACCCATCTTCAATATTGTTATTGACAGTCCAGTGATAAATTACAGACTTTTGGCAGAAGAAAACAAAGCCTCTGGAAACTTATATTGGCTTTTATCTCACTTCCTTGGGGAATAGAGACATAATCGATAAAAGGCAGATTCGGCTGCTTGAAAGAAGCAGATAGAGCCCTGGACACTTAGCAGTAGCAGGTGTCAATTGTAATCTGTTCACATCAAAGTTTATTACATTAGCCAAGAGGTCTGTGTACCAAGTTTTCTCCAGCAACCGCACGTTTTCACCAGTTCCTTAAATTGGGACTGTGTGAAAACTTGCTGCTTCTTTTACAAGCCACAATTCCATAATCCACTTTTGGTTTAGAAGCCAGCTCTTAGCCCAGCATTGTGTATTATTCTAGATTATGTCTGGGGTGTCAGCCAGCTTGGATCACTTGGAGAACTTGGAAGTTTTAAAGATGGATTTACCGGACTTAGCACTGTAACTGACCAGAGACAGGCATTTATCTATTCAGAGTTTTTGCCTGATTAAAAGTCAAATATTAACCTGAACTTGCGTGTTTTTTTGTTTGTTTGTTTGTTTGTTTGTTTCAGATGGAGTCTCTCTCTGTTGCCCAGGCTGGAATGTAGTGGCACAATCTCAACTCACTGCAACCTCTGACTCCTGGGTAGGAGTGATTCTCCTGTCTCAGCCTCCCGAGTAGCTGGGATTACAAGCATGCGTCACCATGTCCAGCTAATTTTTGTATTTTTAGTAGAGATAGGGTTCCACCATGTTGGCCAGGCTGGTCTCAAACTCCTGACCTCAAGCGATCCACCCACCTTGGCCCCCCAGAGTGCTGGGATTGCAGGCGTGAGCCACAGCGCCCAGTCT